GTTTGCGGTGGGGTAGAATGTTAACAATATTACCCAGTGAATTATGTTACTACTGGCTCTTGAATACTGGGACCGGCTCAATCAATAGTAGGACAGATTAGATGAGTACTGGAACAGATTAACTGGATGTTGACACACGGTGACTGAATGCCGAGAGTGGCAAAACTGGATATTGGGCGTGAATAACTGAATACTGGGCGTGGCTAACTGAATGTTGACACTGGCGGGCTGAATGTTTGGAGCGGCTAACTGAACATTAGGAGCGGCTAACTGAACATTGGGAGCGGCTAACTGAACATTGGGAGTGCCTAACTGAAAACTGGAAGCGGCTAACTGAACGTTAGGAGTGGCAAACTGAACATTGAGAGTGGCTAAGTGAACATTGGGAGCGGCTAACTGAACACTGGGATCGACTTACTGAATGTTAGGAGTAGCAAACTGAATATTGGGAGTGACTAACTGAATACTGTGAGTGGCTAACTCAGCGTTGTGAGTGGCAAAATGAATGCTGACACTGGCGGACTGAATGTTAAGGGTGGCTGACTGAATGTTGACGTGGTAAAACTGGCGGGCTGGATGTTGGCAGCGGCAACATGTGAGTGTATTATGTGCAATGACGTCGACTATGATAACACACAAGCATGTCGTAAGAGTCCACTAACTGTAGGCTTCTTCAAAGTCAGAGTGCATCTGCCTGAGAGGCAAGGAACCAATAGTCTGCATACGAGTAAGCCAGTTCTGTAAAAAGGATGCGCAAGCGGCATTCAGGTTCTGGAACAAGACTAAGGTCTAGAGGTGGACGAACAACTTGAACTTCCCGCCGGAGATTACAGACGGTGAACGCAAAGAAGAAGAAACTGTCTAAAATGGGTAGCCAAAAATAAGTCTTTCAGGTGTTTTGAAAGAAGACACTAAGGCAAATGATAACCAACATCCTTTTTTTTTTAACGTATCCAGAAACCATGAGTTGCAAACCCTTTGGCTCGGTACTATGGATATCGCAACCCTTCGGCCTTGATTCCATTATAGGTACCGTTAATCTGGGAGAAATGTGGCTTTTCTGCCTACCCCCGGGAGTGAACCCGGACCACAAGGAGTTCGTCACCCGGCCGCCGCGAAAGTGAGGTTTAACCAACTTCGCTAGAGAGCCGGGCTACCAACATCCAAACGTGCGGTAATAATCAGTTTATCGACACGATAAGAAGATGAGCACTGGGTTATTGTAATATAAATTATAGATAGAGATACAAAGTCAGCATAAGAAGATTCTTGACAGACAGCGTGTGATTGTGTCTGCGCGCGCGTGTGAGTGTGCGTGCATGCATGTGTGCGTGTATTGAGAGAGAGAGAGAGAGAGAGAGAGAGAGAGAGAGAGAGAGAGAGAGAGAGAGAGAATGTTTGTGTGTATCATATCATGAAAGACTGACAGCCCCCATTGCGGTTCAGTTTAAGCACCCTTGCTTTCGTTGAACTCTGAACCTTCAACTATTGAACTGAAGACGTGCAACAGTTCTGCTGTAGGCAGGGATGCCGGACAAGTAGAATATGAGATTACAATTCTCTCTTGTAACATAACTACAGACAGCAGTGAGATCTCTTCTTATTCAAGTCTCTAGCGGGCTGGTATGTGCGATCACATCACTTCATACTGCTAGTGTAAACTTCACCCTGAAAAAATAGGTAATTTTCTGTTGTTTTTTTTTTTTTTAAAGTTTACAAACAAAACAGGTCTGAGAAACACCTCCCAGATCCAGCACAGTTGGGGTCAACAATTCATGTTTTTTTTTTAAATACATCTTTTTAAACTATGGCATGGGAAAACGAAGCAAAAGTGTCACGAAAGTTTGTGTACAGATATATCAGATTCCTATTTAAGGTAAAGAAAAAACACTTTGCGGATGCAAAGGTATAGTATAGACTGATGGGCACTCTTCCGAATAACGGCCCCTTATCATTGACTGTCCAAAACATTTCTTTCAGAGCCTCACGGGGTTCAAGGGGTTACAAAGAGGTCAAGGTTATAAAATCAACTATACTAGCGAATACTCTGTATTTTCGTTTAAACGAAATTATATAATAAAAGAAAGCATAGTTCGTAGTGTTCCTGTTCCATATTTTTAACTACATGACCTCTCAAATCCCTAACTACGATCTCTTGAGGCCCTGAATGGGATTTTTTGTCTTTGAATAATAAGGGACCGTTATTCGGAAGAGTGCAGACTGATGGATCCACATTTGGGATCTCCTCCGAACTTCTACCCCCGCATTATGGCGCCGAAAAATATCCGTACTGGGCTCAGTGCTATTAAAAATATGCGAACTTCCGGCGACGAACGAATCGCGGCACAACTAGGATCGGCTCCGTAAAGCAAAACAAATGCTCTAACAGTGTCTCAGCGATATGTTAATTGCAGAAATTTATTGTTTCTGGTTGCCTGACAATTTTAAGAGACGCAACACTGCAGACGATAGTAGCAGGCGATAATAGCGACCGTTGACACTTTTGAGCGTTTCTGCAGATGATAAAAGCGACATAGCGGGAGACCACGTGCGGCGACGCACATTAGCGTCGTTGTTGTCCTCAAACTTTTCGGCATGCGCAAAACACGGTTACACTTACCGCGGACAGTATCCCCCACACCGCTACGCGCGGCGCAGATGTTGGGCTAAACTAGATGCCTGGGACTCACAAGCAAATTAATTGGAGGAAGTTGCTGCTCGTGAGTCCCAGCATAGCGGCGCGGGGGATACGGTCGGCGGTGAGGCATAGTCATGGAAACAGGTCTGCAATTAACATATCACTGAGATCCTGTTATAGCATTTGTTTTGCTATATGGAGCCAATCCTAGTTTTGCTGCAATTCGTTCGTCTCGCCAGAAGTTCGCATATTTTTAATTGGACTGAGCCCTGCAAGGATATTTCAGGCTGCCATAATGCGGGGGCAGAAGTTCGGAGGAGAGCCCACATTTGTAATGCTACAATAATGGGCAGGGTGACCATAATATCTTGAGCCGAAAACCGGACAACGCATTATTATGTCGACCTGAAAACAAAACATCACATTTATATTTTGAGCTGAAAAGAGGCATCTCAGGCACATGAGTTTAACACCCCTTCTGCTAGGTCACCCAGGTGAAAGGGTTAATAACTCGCTCATTATTTGCATTAAAACCTGAACAAATTTTTGTAAAGAAATAAACGAAACAATATGCTCTTTAACTGCACAGGGAAAAAGAAACATGCTACAATGAAAATATACCTCAACACATTTCAGGCATTGTAGTTAGCTTTCAGTGTATGTTCTGTTCTCATGCTATTCCACGATTGTTGATAAAATAGGACAATGGACTGCTTTTAATTTTTGGTGTAAGTACAAGCAAGATAGCTGGTGCAATGACTCTCTTATCCCTCAGGCTCTTGTCATTTGCAGACTTCTCAAATGTACACTGACATACGCTTCAACATGTTGAATTAAATGAAAGAGACAAACACACAGCTGATATCAGTATTTTCACAGCTGTCTCCAAGCCAGTGCACACAGCTGTCTCCAAGCCAGTGCACACAGCTGTCTCAATGCCAGTGCATACAGCTGTCTCCAAGCCAGTGCACACAGCTCTCTCCAAGCCAGTGCACACAACTATCTCCAAGCCAGTGCACACAGCTGTCTCCAAGCCAGTGCACACAGCTCTCTCCAAGCCAGTGCACACAACTATCTCCAAGCCAGTGCACACAGCTGTCTCCAAGCCAGTGCACACAGCTGTCTCCAAGCCAGTGCACACAGCTGTCTCAGAGCCATTGCACACAGCTGTCTCCAAGCCAGTGCACACAGCTGTCTCAGAGCCATTGCACACAGCTGTCTCCAAGCCAGTGCACACAGCTGTCTCAGAGCCATTGCACACAGCTGTCTCCAAGCCATTGCACACAGCTGTCTCCAAGCCAGTACACACAGCTGTCTCCAAGCCAGTACACACAGCTGTCTCCAAGCCAGTACACACAGCTGTCTCCGAGCCAGTACACACAGCTGTCTCCAAGCCAGTACACACAGCTGTCTCCGAGCCAGTACACACAGCTGCCTCAGAGCCAGTACACACAGAAGAAACTGTCTAGGTGACCACAGCTTAGCCACTGATAGTAGTATATCATGTCGAACAATATTACCTTCATAAGTCAACATATTTAGGAGAAAGAAAAACCTGATTTTTTTCAAAATACTGTCCTGTTGACAACTTTTGGGTTGTGATTTTGGCATATACTGTGCAGTTGATTTAGATAATCTTAATAACATTGTGACTGTAAGTAGTGGATTTTCTGTCTTCGGTAGACGTGTCCGAATTGGACCGCTGAAATAAAATGGCTGACAAACAGAAGCAGATAGTTGTTCTTGATGGAGGAACAGGGATAGCTTTGATGGACATGGGGCATACATTTATTACAGTAAGTAGATGTTCTTGTGTGTCTTTGATGTTTTTAGACATCGGGAATAATTTATGAGTGGATTGGAAAGAGCAGTAGCGGAAGGCATGGTACTGGGCTAGAGGCGCAGTGGGCCGACCGGCACGAAGATGGGCACATGATAGAAGAGATGCAGGAAGTTGTATGAGGTGGGAGATGTCTTGAGGAACTTCTTTCAGGCAGGTTTTGGCTAAAGCAATGTTCTGTTTAGGACTTGTTATATGATAATGATGTGTCTGTGAACAATACTGGAGATTAGTAGTTTTACTCTGTTATTATTATTACTGTGAAATAACATGGGTTGAATCTGATGTGGATTGGGTGGGTGAAGTGGGGAGTCGAAAAAGCATGATTTTGAAACGCTCACTTACTGGAAGGAGCCATATGTACAGGAAATTCAAGAATGTAGACTCACAAATGTACCTGCTTGGGTAGGCAACACAGAATACTGAACAATTTTTGCAGGCGTGCTCTCTTTAACTACCACATGCATAAAATAAAGTCCCTACAGTCCCCCACAGTGTGCCTGTCAGACAGGACCAAAGAAACCTGAGCATATTCTGCAGACCTGACCACTCAACAAATAACTTTGAAAAGAACCTGGCCCTGAGAGCAAAGTGTGCAGAGACAGCTATGGGGAACCATGAAGGACCTGCTACTGACATGTGAGTTTATAGAGGCAACCCACCTGATGGTCTCCTCTGAGCATATGTAACTGAGGGCAAACAAGAAGAAGAAGATAAACAGTAGGGAAATCCCAGGTCTGGACAGTTGGCATTCTGGTGAGAACCAAGCTGTGTGGATCAGTGAAAGTTACACGTTGCACCATAGACTTTATAAAGGCCTGTGACCTTCTCATCTAAAAATCAGTGACTGGAAGAATGAAAAGAAGAATATTAAAAAATTGCTCACTACGGGTGTGTCACCAGGACAGAATGATCAGGAACTGGTGTGTCAGCAGAATAGAGTGATCAGGAACTGGTGTGTCACCAGAACATAATGATCAGGAACGGGTGTGTCACCAGAACGGAATGATCAGGAACTGGTGTGTCACCAGAACAGAATGATTAGGAACTGGTGTGTCACCAGAACAGAATGATCAGGAACTGGTGTGTCACCAGAACAGAATGATCAGGAACTGGTGTGTCACCAGAACAGAATGATCAGGAATGAGTGTGTCACCAGAACAGAATGATCAGAAACTGGTGTGTCACCAGAATAGAATGATCAGGAACTGGTGTGTCACCAGAACAGAATGATTAGGAACTGGTGTGTCACCAGATCAGAATGATTAGGAACTGGTGTGTCACCAGAACAGAATGATCAGGAACGGGTGTGTCACCAAAACAAAATGATCAGGAACTGGTGTGTCACCAGAACAAAATGATCAGGAACTGGTGTGTCACCAGAACAGAATGATCAGGAACTGGTGTGTCACCAGAACAGAATGATCTTGAACTGGTGTGTCACCAGAACAGAATGATCAGGAACTGGTGTGTCACCAGAACAGAATGATCAGGAACTGGTGTGTCACCAGAACAGAATGATCAGGAACTGGTGTGTCACCAGAACAGAATGATCAGGAACTGGTGTGTCACCAGAACAGAATGATCAGGAACTGGTGTGTCACCAGAACATAATGATCAGGAACTGGTGTGTCACCAGAACAGAAAAACCAGGAACTGGTGTGTCACCGGAACAGAATGATCAGGAACTGGTGTATCACCAGAACAGAATGATCAGGAATTGTACCTTGCAGCATTTTCTGTGGGAGATGAAACATTTATGATTATGTCTTAAAAATCAGAATTTAGTGATGTTAATCCATCAATTGTGATATGTTGGGTTTTCAGGGTCAACCTTTGTGGTCAGCAGCTGTCGTGTATACTCACCCTCAGGATTTGATCAAGCTTCATGAGCAGTAAGTGCCTTGGATACATGGTCACTTCTTGATAACATGAATGAAGCACAAATTAAGGTGGTTGAATGTCTGATCCACTATGCAGGGTATCATGAGGAATCAACTATTCTTAGGTGTCTTATTTCATTAAAGTTGACACCATGATTCAACTTAGGTTTTCTCATGCTAGAAGTGGATGTCGCTTCCATATAAAGTGACCTTTAGAACAATCTTGTATCAATCATAACAGCAGATAGAAGATGCGTCCTCTAGAACAATGAATGAAGGAAGAAGTAGCAGTATTTGAAGGGGAAGAAAAGGCACCGGCAGCAGAAGGAAACAAATTAGGGGGGGGGGGGGAGAGGTGGGGAGAATAAGTTAAGAAAGGAATGAGAAAAATAAGAGGAAGAAGGGGTAGGAGAAAAAGAATAATAATAAGATGTGACACTTCATATTTACACACCAGCAATTGCCCTTGTGGGCTCCAGAGCCCCATTTGTTCGACTACACCCCCCCCCCTCTCCCCCCAGCATGCATGTTGTAAAAGTTGACTAATTGGGGAATGTTTCCTTTGAAATCAGTGTGGATCTGCCTGAGTGTCATGGAACCAACAGTCTGCTAACAAATAAGCCAGATCTGTAAAATGGATGTGCATGCAAAACTCAGGTTCTGGAACAGGACTAAAGTCCAGAAGTGGACGAACAACCAAAACTGTCCACCAGGGTTTACAGCCCATAAACGCAAAGAAAAAGAAGCAATCTGTGTTGCTTGGAAGTTAGTGAATGAGTTTCATAGTTTCATGATCGTGGATATACTAGGGCTCACTTCCCTTGGCATCAGTTTTGTGTGTGTGTGGACCTTCTCTTGGCTTTCGTACCACTTTCTGTACGAGAGTCATACTGTGGCAGTGAGGCTTCACCATATGTTGTTCCTAAATACAACAGTAGTTTTACTCCAACCAACCTTCAGTGTGGAATGTTGAATTAAGAATCCACATCACATCATTCGGAACATTTCCATAAGCACTTCGTGCCCATATTCAGCAGCAAGCGCAGTGTTCCAATTCTGATGTCACAAGTAAAATTCTGAATGTATGTCTGTCTCATCTGTCTCCTGTGTACCCGGGTCAGTCCTCACAGCACCAGTTTCCTTAGACCAAGGTGGTCTATTTGCGCCTCCACACTGTTTCTCATTTCCCAAAGAGCCTTACAAAATCTAGCTTTTTTTGCATTATTTCACCATCAAATGGTGCAGAACCAGTCTCTCTGTTCATTTCCCAGTGAACCAGTTTGACCTGGAGAATATATTCAAAGAAACTCATTGTATCAGTGGCACATAATTTGATTTAAACCCCCCACCCCCCACCACCCATTGGAACTAGCTCAAACTATATGTTGTATTGTCAGGTTCTATGTGGCCGGAGCGGATGTTGCAGTCACTGCCACTTACCAAGCTTCAGTCGAGGGCTACAAGACAAAGTTTGATCTCTCAGATGCCGAGGCCCTCCGGCTGATCCAGCGTGGGGTGGAACTGGCAAAAACAGCCAGAGACCAGGCAGAAGAGAAAACAGGTATGTACACTGCAGTTCTAGTTTAGAATTTTCAAATGTTATGTACGCTCAGGATTTTTTTTTTTTTTTTTTTTTGGTGCTAGTGCTCACCATATAACAGTGCTGCAAATAAATGTTGGCCTAAAAAAGGTACTGGTACTGTGTACTGTGGCTTAGTGCCAGAAAAAAAAGCTGTGTCTATACTTAGCTCTAATGTATGGTGCAGTGACCTGGACAAAGAACAAGCAATTCAAAAATACTCAAAAATCTCTTAAGATGTGGAAGAAGAATAGGCTGTATTTCATGTAGACAAAAACAATCAGATGTGGATATACAAAATAATAGGCTGTATTTCATGGAGACAAAAACAATCAGATGTGGATATACAAAATAATAGGCTGTATTTCATGGAGACAAAAACAATCAGATGTGGATATACAAAAGAATAGGCTCTATTTCATGTAGACAAAAACAATCAGATGTGGATATACAAAATAATAGGCTGTATTTCATGGAGACAAAAACAATCAGATGTGGATATACAAAAGAATAGGCTGTATTTCATGGAGACAAAAACAATCATATGTGGATATACAAAAGAATAGGCTGTATTTCATGGAGACAAAAACAATCAGATGTGGATATACAAAAGAATCGGCTGTATTTCATGGAGACAAAAATAATCAGATGTGGATGTACAAAAGAATAGGCTGTATTTCATGGAGGCAAAAACAATCAGATGTGGATAAACAAAAGAATAGGCTGTATTTCATGGAGACAAAAACAATCAGATGTGGATATACAAAAGAATCGGCTGTATTTCATGGAAACAAAAATAATCTGATGTGGATGTACAAAAGAATAGGTTGTATTTCATGGAGGCAAAAACAATCAGATGTGGATAAACAAAAGAATAGGTTTAAGACGAAAATGAAAGTAAATGTTTTAAAAGTTAAAAATACATACATCTTGTATTTAATTTTATAAAACGATTAATATAAACTTAAGTAAAAGAATGGCAATGTATTGTAATGCTATAAACCTATGTTACTTCAAAGTAATCTATCATCTTTTTTGTGTATTTGATTCTCAAGCTTTCTATGTGGGATGTTTGCAGCAATAGGATCTGTGTTACAACTGTCCTCCCCTCTTGCATTTCAAACAAGTTGATGCACTTTGAAAACATTGTTTCTGCTTCTGAGTGGCTAGTTGTAGATTTTTTTGTCAAGAACTGATATTTCATCATCGTCAGTTTCTTCTTTTTCTATTGTAGTCAAGCTAGAAACAATTTCAACATCTTTCAACACTTCAAAGCCTCTATCCATTTTGTCACATTCCAACCAATCTGTTGCTTCTTTTGGCTAAATGTTTTCACTGTTTGGTCCTACATTGCTGCATAGTACACAATTTCGTAAAAGTAATCCATGGACAAATTTAAAGATGTCTGTTTGTTGATACCCACACATTTTTATTGGACAGTGACAGATAAAGAAACTGACGGTTAAACAAACGATGGTTATTGAAAGCTTTACTGTACTCTGATAATCTCAGTTTTGTGTTATCCTGTCACAGACTGAAATGGTTGGATGTTTATGTGCATAAAAATGACTTGTTTACAAGCTCTGCTTTCTTCAGGTCGTCACGGATATGTTGCGGCCTCAGTGGGTCCATATGGAGCCACTCTGTGTGATATGTCTGAGTACCACGGCAGATATGCGGACACCATGACTCGGGAGGTACATATACTGTGTATGTAGCAGATAGCCAGTTGTTGATAATCGTTTTCATTAATAATTTCTGCTTCTGTATGATATGCCAAGAATTTTTCTGAAACATCACATTTCTATTGCTTGTATCTTTCTTTCAAGTTCAGCTGTTAAGGCCCACGTTTCACAGCCTAATATGTAAATGTACTAATAGCTAATGCTTTGAGCACTTAGAATCTTAGTTTTGCAAGAAATGTTTTTGGATCTCCATAATGTTTGCGGTTTGGCAAGGACTGATGTTGCCTGGGCAATCCTAGACACAATTTATGGTCTTGACCCCAAGTCACTTGATATGGGTCCTAAATATTTGAAATTATTGGCTTGTTCTAATTTGTGGCTTTTAACATACATTGGTGATGTTATGCCAGCTGGATTATTACCCATCACTTTTGGTTTGTTTTTTTCTGCCTTTATTTCCATGCCATACTTGGTTGATGTTTCATCAAGCAGATTCACAAGCATAAAATTCGTAAGCAGTGCCGGGAATCGAAACTGTCACCTCCAGCGTTTAATTTTTTTTTTGTTCAATGAACAAAAAGAGGAAGAAGACTGGCTGGCAAGTGTCTAGCCACTACATCACTGCATCTTCTCACCTTGACCCTATTAGTCAAAGTAAAATATCAATGTTAGAAACCCTGCTGTGTTGTAGGAGTTGAGACAATGGCACCTGCCTCGTTTGAAAGCATTGGTGGAATCACAGCCAGACCTTCTGGCCATCGAGACTATCCCTGTTGTCAAGGAAGCTGAAGCCATCTTGGATAATCTGCAGGATTTTCCTGGCACCAAGGCTTGGGTGACCTTCCAGTGTAAGGTGGGTGGCTCCTTGCTGTTTATTTTCTTTTAAATAAAGGGTATTTTGATGGGGCTTGCTGATGTGCACTGAGAGTGAGTGAGTGCAAATGTGTGTTCATGCATAAGTGCCAGAGAGAATTTATTTCTGGAGGTCACACACGTGTCAGAGATTAACAGGCCAGACAGATAAGTGATTTCTTCTTTCTTAGAGATACTTCAGTTAAGGTGTTTTTTTTTTTTTTGTGTGGCAGTGTATATTCATGCAATGTGCTGATGAAGGCTCTCTAGCCGCAACATTGACTTGTCATTTGTACTTTTGATAATGTGAGGTTGACTGCTTCTACTTGTGTTTTCTAGAAGGAATGAGTGGGTATTTGTCTGTGTCAGCTAACTGTTGCTACCTGGTGAGAAGCAAAGGGGGGCAGTGGTGAATGACTACCTGTGGTGCTGTACCAGGATCAGGCCTCGGACTGGTCAACACCTGTGGTGCTACACCAGGATCAGGCCTCGGACTGGTCAACACCTGTAGTGCTACACCAGGATCAGGCCTCGGACTGGTCAACACCTGTGGTGCTACACCAGGATCAGGCCTCGGACTGGTCAACAGCTGTGGTGCTACACCAGGATCAGGTCTCGGACTGGTTAACACCTGTGGTGCTGTACCAGGATCAGGCCTCTGACTGGTCAACACCTGTGGTGCTACATCAGGATCAGGCCTCGGACTGGTCAACACCTGTGGTGCTACACCAGGATCAGGCCTCGGACTGGTCAACACCTGTGGTTCTGCACCAGGATCAGGCCTCGGACTGGTCAACACCTGTGGTTCTGCACCAGGATCAGGCCTCGGACTGGTCAACACCTGTGGTGCTACACCAGGATCAGGCCTCAGACTGGTCAACACCTGTGGTGCTACACCAGGATCAGGCCTCAGACTGGTCAACACCTGTGGTGCTACACCAGGATCAGGCCTCGGACTGGTCAACACCTGTGGTGCTGTACCAGGATCAGGCCTCGGACTGGTCAACACCTGTGGTGCTACACCAGGATCAGGCCCCATACTGGTCAACATTTGTGGTGCTGCACCAGGATCAGGCCTCGGACTGGTCAACACCTGTGGTGCTACACCAGGATCAGGCCTCGGACTGGTCAACACCTGTGGTGCTACACCAGGATCAGGCCTCGGGCTGGTCAACACCTGTGTACACCTTTCTGTGCTCCTCCTAGTTTTAAACAAGGGTAGGAAATTATAGGGAAGAGTGTAAGACAAGGGTAAGACAAAAACAAATAGTTTCAGCTTTACAAAAGAAGGGTATGATTGTGTCCACCTTTTAGATTCCCTCCTAGGCCAGTAGGCTCTGGTAACACATGGGCAAAGCATCTTTACTTGGAAATCTCAGCTCACATGGTTTAGTCTTTTTGTTTTTATGCATACATTTAAAGTAAAATAACCCTTTCACATCATTGGTATCAAACATCACATTGTTTAGCCCAGTCGGCACTATAGGCATGATTGTGATCAACATCACACCAGCCGCCTTTACTTCCCAGGTTGTTTGTTTTTTGTTTTAAGAAAATATTATGTGGTGAGCTGGAAAAGTGAGCTCACAGTGAACACACACACACGCATGCACAGTGAGTCTGTTATTTTTCCCGTAAAATGTGGCCCTGAAAGAGTGAGTTTGTTCTTTTTTTCCATATGAAATATGGCTCTGGAAGAGGCAGTGAGTTTGTTCTTTTTTTCCATATGAAATATGGCTCTGGAAGAGGAAGTGAGTTTGTTCTTTTTTTCCATATGAAATATGGCTCTGGAAGAGGCAGTGAGTTTGTTCTTTTTCCATATGAAATATGGCTCTGGAAGAGGAAGTGAGTTTGTTCTTTTTTTCCATATGAAATATGGCTCTGGAAGAGGAAGTGAGTTTGTTCTTTTTTTCCATATGAAATATGGCTCTGGAAGAGGAAGTGAGTTTGTTCTTTTTTTCCATATGAAATATGGCTCTGGAAGAGGAAGTGAGTTTGTTCTTTTTTTCCATATGAAATATGGCTCTAGAAGAGGAAGTGAGTTTGTTCTTTTTTTCCATATGAAATATGGCTCTGGAAGAGGCAGTGAGTTTGTTCTTTTTCCATATGAAATATGGCTCTGGAAGAGGAAGTGAGTTTGTTCTTTTTCCATATGAAATATGGCTCTGGAAGAGGCAGTGAGTTTGTTCTTTTTCCATATGAAATATGGCTCTGGAAGAGGAAGTGCATCTGTTCTTTTTTTCCATATGAAATATGGCTCTGGAAGAGGAAGTGAGTTTGTTCTTTTTTTCCAAATGAAATATGGCTCTGGAAGAGGAAGTGAGTTTGTTCTTTTTTTCCATATGAAATATGGCTCTGGAAGAGGAAGTGAGTTTGTTCTTTTTTTCCATATGAAATATGGCTCTGGAAGAGGCAGTGAGTTTGTTCTTTTTCCATATGAAATATGGCTCTGGAAGAGGAAGTGAGTTTGTTCTTTTTCCATATGAAATATGGCTCTGGAAGAGGCAGTGAGTTTGTTCTTTTTCCATATGAAATATGGCTCTGGAAGAGGAAGTGCATCTGTTCTTTTTTTCAATATGAAATATGGCTCTGGAAGAGGAAGTGAGTTTGTTCTTTTTTTCCATATGAAATATGGCTCTGGAAGAGGAAGTGAGTTTGTTCTTTTTTTCCATATGAAATATGGCTCTGGAAGAGGAAGTGAGTTTGTTCTTTTTTTCCATATGAAATATGGCTCTGGAAGAGGCAGTGAGTTTGTTCTTTTTCCATATGAAATATGGCTCTGGAAGAGGAAGTGAGTTTGTTCTTTTTCCATATGAAATATGGCTCTGGAAGAGGCAGTGAGTTTGTTCTTTTTCCATATGAAATATGGCTCTGGAAGAGGAAGTGCATCTGTTCTTTTTTCGATATGAAATATGGCTCTGGAAAAGCCAGTGAGTCTGTTCTTTTCCCCCCTAAAATGTGGCTCTGGAAGAGGAAGTGCATCTGTTCTTTTTCCCTTAATTCCAGAACCTACATGGGAAAACTGCAGCGTGACCTGGATAACCGGGAGAACTTTGGTGATGATAGTTGTGTTTGGTGTAGGCAAATCTCTGTTGGCACCCAACTTTAATTTAAAACAGTTTCGAATCAGCAAATGAATCTTTTAACAATATTTGAATTAACATGCGAGTGTTGTGAAAGGGTTCTTTTACTTTTAATGTTTAGTGGTCTGCAGTTCTGGTGTAGGGTAGGTAGTGTCGGCATATCTGACAGCTTCCTTATGCATTTCGGGGGCCTTGTTAGCGCAGTCAATAAGAGGCTCGCTTTCAAATCCAGCTGCGACTCGCTGCAGCCCACGATCAGTGTTCAAAACCTGGTGGTTCCCGGGGTTCACCCAGCCTCTAGGAAATGGATACCAGAGTTGACACTCTGGGGTTGTTGTTGTTGTTGTTGTTGTTATCGATCCAGCGGCGCATGAGCTTTCGCCCTTTGGCCCAATGCCATGTAGTGGAATTTGCATGTTTTCACAAGCTGTTCTTTTCCTCCGTACAAGGTGTTCCACTTGTCTGGTCTCGGAGGGAGTAGCGTTCTTCTTGTCTCACTGAGTTTTGGGCACTCAAAGAGATGGTGTTCAACAGTTTCGTAGGGGTAGTTACATAGCTGGCACTCTGGGGAGTGTTGTGGCTGTATTCTGTTTAGGTGTCCATTGAGTGGAGTATGTTGCGTTCTAAGTCTGAAGATGGTGGCCTGGTCCCTTCTTGTTAGATGGTTAATGCTGTCATTAGGATCAGGGCCAGACATATGTCTATAAACCTCTCTTCCAGTGTCTCCCATGGCCCATCTGTTCAACCAAGTCTCTTTGTTTATAGCTCTTATCAGTGTTTTTGCTGTCTGGAGGGTTGTCGCTGTAGGTGGTTGTTCTTGTGTTGCTCCTTTCTTTGCCAATCTGTCAGCTCTGTCATTACCTGGTGTGCCGGAGTGACCTGGAATCCACTGCATCACTATTCTGATGTTGTATGAGGTAATAAGATGATCGGCATCCAGGATTATCTTGGCTATGTCAGTTCTGCAGCGTTCATTGCCCTCCAGAGCTTGAAGGGCAGACATTGAATCTGTAAAGATGACAATATTTTGGACCTTTGAGGGGTAAACATCCATTACAGTCTTTAGGTGGTATACTGCTGTTTCCAGTGCAATTATTTCAGCTTCATAGTTTGAACAGAATTCCCCGCATGCATCAAAAATCTCTTCAACAGATCCATCGGGATAACCTATGTAGATTCCGTAACCTGCTTTAATGGTAGCTTTAAATGCTGATCCATCAGTATAGACATGTATCCATTCTTGGGGGTAAGAATCAACGGTCTTTAGTGATGAGTTCATAAGAGCGATTGGGTCGGACTGTTTGGTTTCCTCGCCTACCAATTTAGTTTGGACTTCTGGAGCTTTAAAGCGAGCATGTGGTGGTAGGTTTTTTGCAACATTCTGAATTCCTTGACGTCTTTCTGGGAGGTGGTATCTGTCCTGAATTTCATTTACACAGTGTAAAACCGATTTGTGCTTTATTCTTTGTTTGGATTCCCAGTTTTCTACAAGATGTCTATTAGGATGGTTACGATTTTTCCTAACGCATCTTTCATAAATTTCTAAAGTGGCTTTTTCTCTCCGCAACCCAAGGGGTTCCACATTTGTATGGATTTCACATGCAGCAGTTGGTGTAGACTGCATAGCTCCGCAGATTAATCGGAGGGCATTATTTTGTACTCTGTCAAGAGTCTCTAGGTTAGTTTTGGAACAAGTTGTAAGCAGTGAGTTGTTGTACTCTATCACAGAGCGAACATATCCTAGGTATAAGCCTCTCAGAGTTTCCTTGTCTGATCCCCATGATGTACCTGCAAGTCTCTTTAATAACTGTAACCGCCTCAATGCCTTATTCCTGATGTTTTTTCAATATGGTTCTTGAGGCTGAGCTGCGGGTCAAGTGTGACTCCAAGGTATGTGGGATGCTCTTCTTTCATCACTTGGTGTTTGTCTAACCTCAGGTTAATATTCTTCCTTGCTACTTGGTGGCTTTTGGTAAAGATTGTGTAGACCGTCTTTGCACAGTTAATCTTGAGTTTCCATCTTTGGCAGTAATCATGCAGTCTTCTAAGGTCTCCATTCAGTCTTTGGGCTCCACTTTCCACATTTTCATGACTCTGCCATATTGCTAGGTCATCAGCGTACAAGGCTTTTTCGGCCTTGATTTGTTCTGGCAGGTCATTGATAAAGATTAGGAATAGTGTACAGCTCAATGATGAGCCTTGTGGCAAGCCCTCCTCCAAGACTTCTTTAGAAGAGATTGCGTTGTGCATCTTAGTCTGGATTGTTCTATCTATCAGGAAGAATTTCACCCAGTTATACAATCTGCCATGTATTCCTATGCTCATCATCTTCATCAGGAGACCTTTTCTCCATACTCTGTCATAGGCCTGCTGGAGGTCGACAAAGACTGCCACTGTGTGTTTCTTATTCTGGAAGCCATCATGTATTCTTTGTGTCAGTCTGAACAGCTGGTCTTCTGTGCAGCTGTTGGTTCTGAAGCCTGCCTGACACTCTGGGGTAAATGGAGGAACGTCGCTGTAGCCACAGAGTTACGTGCGAACAGCGACACAATCGGACAATTCTTATCTGCTGTTCGTACTGGTGGCAGAGCACTTTTGGTTTATAACCGTGTACAATGACGCTGGTTCACATCTCCTGACTTTACCTTTTTTTACCTTATGCATTTTTACTTTGCATGTGCAAGCTTCAAGATTTTTCTATGACTGACACTAGTTTTCAGATGGGACAGCGAGATACATTTTGTGTGATTTCTACCAGCACTGCTGAGGAGCTGTTATTGGGCGATTCATCTGCAGGGAAGTTGGAACCTCGACTAACGACCAACGACTGACTAACTTTTGTTGAATGAGCTGTATTTTGTTGGTTATGTAGGATGGCAGCAACACTGCTCATGGGGAGAGCATCAAGGATGCTGTTGCTGCTGTGGTAAACTATGATGGTGTTGTGGCTGTCGGAGTCAACTGTGTACATCCAGATTTTGTGACGTCACTGCTGCAGAACATGGCAGAGCTGTCGCTGAGTGTGCCGTTAATTGTGGAACCAAATGGAGGAATGTTTGATCATGATGGCAGGTTGGTGTCCGAATATTACAGTCTCTGGCATTTATGTTTTAACATCATCATCAAGTGCCTTGCTGACTGTCATGTGCGGTCAGCCTCTCCAAAATCTGTGATCTACAATTGCCTAAATCAGTTTCTGTGTTGACATCCCTCCATGCCATGGCAAAAGACTGTTAAGAATCTGCTCATGATATCTTTCTCTGTCTCTCTTTCTACAGATCTTTCCAGTGGCCATGACATTTTCCAGTTTCCTTCTTCTGAAAATGTGACCACATACTGATGACTGTCTCTTTCTAATGTTTGTGATAAGTTGTCTTTGAGCCCTCGACTTTTTCAGTCAGCAGATTGGCTAGTTCTGCACCAATGGGTGTTGAATATATGCATGACAAGCTAGATGTACTCAAGGTCCTTTGGGAGGAAATGAAAAGTTTGCAGGTACAGTTGTGGTCTAGAGGAATTGTACAGCTAGAAGTGACAAAGGGGATCTACTCGACACTCTACACTCACAGGGAAGACAAGGCGGACATAAATTCAAACTACTTCTGGCTCCACTGGAATTGAAACTCTTAGCTGGATGCTGAAGATGAGGACAGAGCATTTATAAGAATATCCTGAGTGTTATGATGTCAGTTCCTAGCTCAGCACTCTCACATGTTTACCAGAATATCAAATCAGATCTATGTTCTTGTCCCAGTTATTTCATGTCACCAAACTTTTGGGGTATTTATCTTTGCCTTCTCTCTTATCTTTATAGTTAATTTATGTTTAATATTATCTTTCCCAACATGCAATTTTTGGCTATTTCCAACAGGCCAACACCCAAAGAGAAGTTATCTGAGCATGTTGAGGAATGGGTGAAAGCAGGAGCTACATGGATCGGAGGTTGCTGCTATGTAAACCCTCCAGACATCGCCGACATGAGGGCAGCTCTGGCTCGGTTGCCAGGAGTCACCTTGCTGCAAAAGGAAAGCAGGTTATTTTGATATCAGCTGCTTTTGTTGTATCTAGAAATCTCATTGTCAACTTCATATTAGATACAAAACAATCTTTTCCTGTTGTGAATTTATCATATTTTTCTGTGCATAAGACAACATCTATTTTTTTCTAAAAACCCAAAATCAAGAAATAAATATTTAAAACACATTCCGTATAAAAGACTAACCCCAATTTAAAACTTTAAAATATTAGGAAATATATCGTTTTGTTAAATGAAAAAATACAGTACATAATGAGGTCATACATACATAGCACACTTTATTTCATGATTGCCGAGGGATTAGATAGTTAATCTTAGAATTATGTTTGCTGAAATGTTCAGAGTAATGAGCGACAGTGTGGCTGTATCTTGTAAGGATTCATATTTTATGCTTTATGTTTTGTTGTAACATTTGTAGCAATACAAACAAATAATGTAACATTTGTAGCAATACAGATAAATAATGTAATATTTGTAGCAATACAAATAAATAATGTAACATTTGTAGCAATACAAATAAATGATGTAACATTTGTAGCAATACAAATAAATGATGTAACATTTGTAGCAATACAAATAAATGATGTAACATTTGTAGCAATACAAATAAATGATGTAACATTTGTAGCAATACAAATAAATACTGTAAACATTTGTAGCAATACAAATAAATAATGTAACATTTGTAGCAATACAAATAAATGATGTAACATTTGTAGCAATACAAATAAATATGCCTGACCATAGGTTGTGCAGTATATTGTTTGTTGCCTCATTACTTAAATTTAGACAACGTACTTCAGTGTGCATAAAATGCCAGGGTATGTAAGGTGAGAGAAGCTCTACCAGTCATATCTGGTTATAACCAGCTTTTTCTAGTACCCATGCAAAGCTGGTTCCGGGGTCACATCAAAACCATACTGCCAACCATCCTGCCAAACATACTTTTCAACAAAGTAATATCCTGTTCAACCCTGTAGGTTACTGTTTGGTTATTTGGTGTCTGCGGTTATTTAAGCTAATGTATTTTTTCATTTATTGATTGTGGGTTTTTGACACCAGAATGGTTTTCATGTGTTCATGGTACTTGTTGTGTAACATGATTATGGGTTTTTGACACCAGAATGGTTTTCATGTGTTCATGGTACTTGTTGTGTAACATGATTGTGGGTTTTTGACACCAGAATGGTTTTCATGTTTTCATGGTACTTGTTGTGTAACATGATTGTGGGTTTTTGACACCAGAATGGTTTTCATGTTTTCATGGTACTTGTTGTGTAACATGATTGTGGGTTTTTGACAACAGAATGGTTTTCATGTGTTCATGGTACTTGTTGTGTAACATGATTGTGGGTTTTTGACACCAGAATGGTTTTCATGTTTTCATGGTACTTGTTGTTGTGTAACATTTATTGTTTAATTTGATGAATGGCTGATCAATGGTTGAGTTCCCTATGTACATTCTGGGACTCTGTATTTGGGAAAAACAAGAACGAACCTACTGCCTTCCCAACAAGCATAGCGTACGAGTTGACATATTGGGAGCCTTCTCTGAAGTCAGAGTGCATCAGCCTGACAGGCAAGAAACCAATAGTCTACAAACATGTCGGTCAGATCTGTAAAACTGATGTGCATGCATCACTAAGGTTCTGGAGCAAGACTAAAGTCCAATATTTAAAGAACAACCAGAACTTTCCACCGGGGTTTACAGCCAAGAAGTAGAAGAATGTTGAGAGCTCTCAGCTCTTGTTTTTAAAACCCAATTTTGAATCCTCTGTAAAGTGATGGATTTTTGTCTGTGGAGGATAACAAATAAAATCATAACCTGCAAGGTCTGTGGCAGCTGCACTAGCCATACTGCTTAACATCTCAGGCTCACTTCCATCCCCCTACCCTTTTACTGCCCTAAACCCCTTTAAAAAGTGGCACACACCTGCAGTAAAGATGGACATTTTTTTACATAGTATAAGTTGCTTAGCATGAGAACTGACTTGAGGCAGAGAGGTGAGTAATTTGAAGATTTGGAAAGGTCTGCACAAACACTAGTCTCCCAACCTTGAACTACAGCAGTGGCTCTCAACCTTCCTAATGCTGCGACCCTTAAATACAGTTCCCTCGTGTTGTGGCCACCCTTAAATACAGTTCCCTCGTGTTGTGGCCACCCTTAAATACAGTTCCCTCGTGTTGTGGCCACCCATAAATACAGTTCCCTCGTGTTGTGGCCACCCATAAATACAGTTCCCTCGTGTTGTGGCCACCCTTAAATACAGTTCCCTCGTGTTGTGGCCACCCTTAAATACAGTTCCCTCGTGTTGTGGCCACCCTTAAATACAGTTCCCTCGTGTTGTGGCCACCCTTAAATACAGTTCCCTCGTGTTGTGGCCACCCCTTAAATACAGTTCCCTCGTGTTGTGGCCACCCTTAAATACAGTTCCCTCGTGTTGTGGCCACCCTTAAATACAGTTCCCTCGTGTTGTGGCCACCCTTAAATACAGTTCCCTCGTGTTGTGGCCACCCTTAAATACAGTTCCCTCGTGTTGTGGCCACCCTTAAATACAGTTCCCTCGTGTTGTGGCCACCCACAAACAATTATTTTTCTTCATAACTTCAATGAATATGTATTTTCCGATTGTCTTATTCAACCCATGCGAAAGGGTCTTTCGACCTGAAAAAAAAAGGATCGTGACCAGCAGATTGAGAACCGCTGAACTAGAGTCATCAGCCATTAACTGTTTTAGTCTCAGCTAATGTTTGTTTGAGCATATTATGTCTGAAGCAGTTGTTTGTTTCAAGAAATAAATTAAGGGGGATAAGAATATTTTTAATAATATACCAACTGAACAGAGAAAGTTCACTACCAGTTGGGAGAGAGCTGGCTAATATTTACATACTTAGTCATCCTCGTCTGCCTTGGGGTGTAGAGGTTTGCCAGAGACATTGCCAGATTTCTCTGTCAGTAGTTTTCTTTCTGGCTCTGTTCCATTCCAGTTGGCAAGAGCTGGCTAATATTACAACCATGCCTTCTTTTTTTCCTGCTCTTTCCTCTGCATTTGCCCTTTAAAGAGTGGTTGACATGTGTTGTGGTTTACAGCTAGGCTGCAATTATCTGCACTTTTCAGGCCAACACATTTAACGTCAGCAAACCTTCAGTTAGTCACTTTTTATGACAGGTTTGTTAGGGAAACGGTTCGGGTCTTTTCTTCTCCCCCTCCCTTCCCCTTCCTCTCAAAAAATGAGTTGCCAGTACCCACACAAGAAATAACACCAGGATGAGACACAGGGGTTAAAGTAAAACATATATTGTTATCACTTTGCTGTTGGTCAATGAGCAGTTGGGAAGATATTATTAAACGGGTAACTAGAAAGTTATCTTACACTCGGGGTTTTTGGTGATGAATATTTTATTCTTTCCAGAATGTTTATCAGAATAAAGAATTTATTTATCTCAAATTGTTCATGTTTGATAAATTTGTTGCTTGTGATTTCTCAGAAAAAGTGAACATTTATTTAAATTCTTTTAATCGATAACTTTATCGATACGATAGCACTTTCTGAACTACAGTTTGTATACTTTAGAGTAACAGTTTTTGTCTGAGTGAGTTAAATTAGTACAATAATGGGATAACAGTTAAATTAACAGTTGGGTTATTGTCATCATCATCAGGTGCCTTGCTGATTAGCATGGGCAATCATGCAGACAGACAGACATGACTCAAGAACAGGACAAAACATTGACTGCTAACAATAACAGAATATAAACAAAGTTACACATCTGAGACCAGTTTATTCTCAATTTGTTTACATTTAATATGATCCAAAGTACTCATGTAACACATTGCGTTCTCAAACACACATGATGAGTTCTACTTGGAAAAAGCATGAACAGACTGGTACATGTACAATACAGTTTGTTGTCACGTATATGTACAATACAGTTTGTTGTCACATACATGTACAATACAGTTTGTTGTCACGTACATGTACAATACAGTTTGTTGTCACGTACATGTACAATACAGTTTGTTGTCACATACATGTACAATACAGTTTGTTGTCACATACATGTACAATACAGTTTGTTGTCACGTACATGTACAGTACAGTTTGTTGTCACGTACATGTACAATACAGTTTGTTGTCACGTATATGTACAATACAGTTTGTTGTCACGTATATGTACAATACAGCTTGTTGTCACGTACATGTACAATACAGTTTGTTGTCACGTACATGTACAATACAGTTTGTTGTCACGTACATGTACAATACAGTTTGTTGTCACGTGCATGTACACTTCAGTTTGTTGTCACGTACATGTAAAATACAGTTTGTTGTCACGTACATGTACAATACAGCTTGTTGTCACGTACATGTACAATACAGTTTGTTGTCACGTACATGTACAATACAGTTTGTTGTCACGTACATGTACAATACAGTTTGTTGTCACGTACATGTACAATACAGTTTGTTGTCACGTACATGTACAATACAGTTTGTTGTCACATACATGTACAGTACAGTTTGTTGTCACGTACATGTACAATAAAGTTTGTTGTCACGTACATGTACAATACAGTTTGTTGTCACATACATGTACAATACAGTTTGTTGTCACTTACATGTACAGTACAGTTTTTTGTCACGTACATGTACAATACAGTTTGTTGTCATGTACATGTACAGTACAGTTTGTTGTCCTGTACATGTACAATACAGTTTGTTGTCACGTACATGTACAATACAGTTTGTTGTCATGTACACATGATAACGAGTTTGACTTCAAATAAATCCAAGAACAGACACATACATATGCAATACAATATGTTGTCACGTACATGTACAATACAGTTTGTTGTCACGTACATGTACAATACAGTTTGTTGTGTACAATACAGTTTGTTGTCATGTACATGTACAATACAGTTTGTTGGGTCCAATAAAGTTTGTTGTCACATTTACATGAAAATGGATTCCATTTCAAATAAATGCATGAACAGACACCAA